CACTGACCATATTCCCCCCACCCCCACTCACCCCAAATGTAATCCACTCTGCAACACTCATTCCATACTCTTATGATAAACACAATGCCCTAAAATATAATACTTTTAAACTATTCTCTCCCTCATAGACTTCAATGCAGTAAACACACCTCTGCCTGGCTTCAAGCCAGCACAACTCATGTGTAAGGGCAGACTGTGTTCCCCTGGGTTTTCAATAACTGGTTTAGTTCTTTGTGGGGGGGGCGTCACCAGGCCTTTTCCTCAAGAAGCCTGTGCTTGGACTCCTATCTCCAGCTTTCTTGTTAGCAGCTGGGCATGATAACAATTTTTGAGACCATAGTTCCTCCTGTCAGTTATCTACTTGATGGATGGGATCATCTCTTATGCACATGGAAATTTCTCAACTGCCCCTCTATGGCAAGGAACAGGCAAAGAATGTACCTGCTATCCTTAGAGAAGAGGCTTGGACTTTATTTCTTAGCCACTTGTAAGGAAGACCTCCAGTTTATATTTCCATACCTAAGGCAGAGGTCACTGTGTTATATAGGATAATGGAATTTCCAAGGGGCTTGCAGGGACCGAATTAGAGGAGCCTGCAGAAGGATGGAGACAGAGCATGCCTGTGAAGCCGTGGAGGAATGCCCGGCAAGCGGCAGGGCGGCCAACTGGAAAATTCTTGGTCCTGAGTCTGGACGCTGAGGAGGCTTTGGGAAGCCCGGCTCCACCCATGTCGGCATCACCTTCCTCAAGCTGCTTAGAGCAGCCCCCTGACACGAAGCAGGCCCTGCTGGCCATCTCATGGTGCCCACAGCCAGCTGGCAGGCCACGTCCCAGGGATTGTGAGGTCAAATCCTTTGTGGGGGAGGCATTCTTTACAGATCATGACATTTCCTAGATTCAGATCTGAGACTGGCCCTTTCTGGTATTGTCATAATTCTGACTGTCCTTTTTGTTTGTTCTGCCCACCCTTTGTCCCAAACTAACTTCTAGAAAGAAAGAAAAAAGAAGGCAGTGCTTTGCAGTCATCTGTGTAAGAGTCTGCAGAGCCCAGGCCACGTGGCACGTTCTTATTCCTCTGCAGTAGCCTGCGTGGCCCGTCACACTTTGGCTTCAGTGCTGACAGCATCTGCCCCTTCCCTGTCCTACAGCCACCCTACAGCCAAATGGTTGTCTTCACAATCAAAAGTAAATTCAAACTGACTTGGTTTTGAAGCTGTTCTGAGAATTTTACAGATCCCCCAAGGCAATGGGAAACAAAAACCAGGTTAGGAAATCCTGGGATTAGAAGTTCCATTTTAAAGCTTCTCCATTGAAAACCACATTTTAAACAGCTCAAAGTAAAAATCGCTGGATTTATCAAACAGAAAGTGGCTTTTCAGGGACAGCAAGTCAGCAGCATATGTCTGTTTCAGGCAAGTGGCTTGTATGGCACTTTATAGCTGGGACATGTCTGCATACCACAGTCCTGACTCGGCCAGTCAGGCAGCTGGGAGTCTGCAGGGGGCGCTCCAGCCAGGAACTCCTACCCATAACTGACCCCAGCCTGAGGGAGGCAGGTGCCTAACAGCAACAAGATTACAAATGCCCAAAATTCACATCACTGGACAGCCAAATCTTTCTTACTCTCTGAGCAATCCCCGTTTGTTCTTCTTGGATTATTACAAAATACATCCAAGAGAACATATGGCAATTGGGACATATTTACAAATATAGTTCAGTAACACTGCTTGCTTCAAGTGGTGTAGCTACTTTTCTATATTATTTGACACCATTAACACAAACTCAGTGCTTCCTCCCTCTTATCCTAGTGATCTCTAATAATTTTTGCATATATCATTTGGTTTTTTTTGAACTGATATTTTGCTCAGCATATTTTCAAAGTTCATCTATGACAATCCCTTAGTATTTGAAGAAAATACATTTGGTCCCTGGCCCCTGTGTTGTGGGTTCCCCCCTCCCCCCCCAGTAAACACAGAGTCAGGAAAGCTCTTCTCAGAAATCATAGCCGAGTCATGAAGCAGAACCTTAGACACAGAACTTCAGATCTTCTACATGATGATACAATTTTAGTTAAACAGAATAATGACTAACAAGAGAAAATGCATACCTGCCCAAAGTTATTGTTATAAAGTAAATAACTACCAGGATACAGAATTTTACCTGCCTGGACATAGTATCTCAGCTAGGCTAATGGACAGGTGCAGAATATTAGCAATCCTAGAAGGGTACGTGTTACGAGTTACACCAGGAAAGCGTGCTGGGCAAAACCCAGGAGGAGCAGGCTGTAGAAAGGATCTGGGCACCGGAATCTAGCTTAAGGGTGGGATAAGGAGATAGAGGAGACCTCCACTCCTACCTAGGAAGTCACTGATGGTTCCCAGGCTGCGAGGTACCATTACGTGTGGGGATACAAGGTATGTAGGTCTCTCTACTAATATTGTAGCACCTGTGGAGAGGTGATGATCAGAGCTGGAGCAGTGGAATATGGGGGTTCTGGGGAGCTCATTGCTGGCAGAGAGAGGAGTGGGGTGCAAGGTTTAGGGATTATGTATGCATGTATTTTAATAAGGGAGCTCTGGTGGCCTAGTGATAAGGAGATATACTGCCAACCCAAAGGTATGCAGTTCAAGGTCACCAGCTGCTCCTTGGGAAGAAGATAGGCAATCTCCTCCCTTGTATTTACAGCCCGAGAAACACACTTGAGAGTCAGCTATCGGTAGGTACAGATGGTACACACCAACACCAACACCAACCAACATATATGTATATACATTGTACGCGTGCATCTCTATATCTCTATATCTCTATATATCTATATCTATATATCTATATATATGTATGTATACATGCTGTTGTGCGCCTTCGAGTTGGAACCAACTCTTAGCTAACTCCCTGTCTTGTCATGGCAGGTACATCTTTAATACAATTAACCCTAGATAGACTCTAAGGAGCTCTGGTGGCCTAGTGATAAGAAGCTGCCCTGCAATCCCAAAGGCAGGCAGTTCAAATCCACTTGTTTCTCTAGAGAAAAACGGGCAATCTCTTCCTGTGTGCTTTGTAGCCTCTGAAAACCCAGTGAAGGGACAGCTATGAGTTGGTTCTGATTTGACTGAAATGACAGTTGAGAGAAAAACGCTAGACGTCAAGGTTGACTTTTCATCTTTCAAACATTTAAAACTATCCATTGGCTAAAAGATGTAATTCACTTTGTAAATTTCTTCTGAGGGTTATAGTAATCGATTTATTAGAGAGTTACATTCCCAAAAGGATGGAGCTCCTTCCCTAAAGGGAAATAAGAGAGAGGGCCATTTGCGAATTTGAATGGAACAATTGACCCATGTAGCTCCTCTCTCTACAATCAAGCCATCCCCAGTGACTCAGGTGTCACTGATAGCACTTCAATTCAGCTGACTAGAGCTCTGAGGCCAGGGGCATTCAACTCACCTATGACATTCCGGATGTCATCCTCTTCTTCGGGGCTCAAGGTGGGGCTCACAGGGGTTGTGCCCTGGCCAGAAGTAGCATCTTTGCCCAGCATGTCTGTCCTGACTGTGGTGGGAGGGATTGGGGCCACCAGAGTATCTTCCACAAAGGCATCCCCAAGGGCCACTTCCAGGAAAACGGAGGCTGGAGGTTGCTGGGTAGCTGTCTGTGCCACAGTGGTGGCTGGCCACTGAGTAGAAGGTCTAGGGGTAGCCTCCTCTGTGGAATCTGGAAGCACAGAGGTGGTTTGGGGTGTTGAAAGGTGTTCAGCAGAAGCAGAGGCCACTGGGTCATTGACGCTGGGCATGGAGGCCGAGGCCTGCGGTGGCGCTGAAGACAGGGATGTGGCCTGAGTGTTCTGGTCAGTTGCTGGCCCCTTGGTGGTGCTGGTTAGCAGATCTTTGTGTCTCAGGAGCTGATCTTCAATCAGCAAATCCACTCCACTCTCGCCACTGAATAACTCATCTTCTGTGAAACAAACACAAGGCTGGTCTGTAGCACGGAGAGAGAAACAACCTTCAGATGGCCACATGTACATGGCACATTAAGTGAGTCTACCCTCAACATGGAAGGAGGGGTGGCATCCACTTCCATAACAGCTTGTCTCCAGAAACCCTATGAACCTGGAGAGAGGATGAAAGGCACCCAAGCGTCGAGGACTCACCTTCATAGGGTCGCTATGAGTCGCCTGTGACTTGACAGCACTTAACAACTTAACAACAACAACAACAACCCTCAACATGGTATCCTGATTTAGGGATGGAGCCTGGCTGGGACTACAGAATGCAAGAAACTAGAAAAAGAGAGTAAGAAGCAGCCAGGATAGAAGGGAAGGGTATTCCTGAAGTCCATCTGTTGACAGCCTGTTGTTAAACTCAACCCTGGACTCAGGAGTCATTGATGGAGGATATAGAATTATCAGCAATGAAACCCGAAGGCTGGCAATTAGGATAACACAGTCCCAAAAGACCATGTTCTACATCCTACTTTGGCGAGTAACCACTGGGCTCTTGAAAACTTATGAGCAGTCATGTAACGGTTCCCCCCTGTTTGGAGCAAAAAAGGAGCAAAGAAAACAAAGTCTGTTAGTCCAAAGGACTCATGAGCCAAGTGAACTTCAGCATCCGTGACCCTGAGAGCAGAACTAGACAGTGCTTGGCTCCCACTGCTGACTGCTCTTCAAGGGATCAAGAACAGACGATCCCTGATGGAATGCAGGAAAAATGTGGAACAGAATTCAAAATCATTAAAAAGGCCAAGCTGACTGGTCTGACAGAAACTAATGGAGCCCCAGAGACTGTGGTCCTTTGTCTTTACCCTTCAACCCTGGAACTGAAATCGTCCCCATGACTCAGCTTCCAGGCAAACACTGTTGTTGTTAGGTGCCATGGAGTTGATATGACCAACAGAACAGAAGCTTGCCTGATCCTGCGCCATCCTCACTAACTCCAAGCCCATGGTTAGGGTCACTATGTCATGAAGAGAGGAGGTCAAAGAGCAGACAGGCCTATAAAGTGATCAATAATACCAGGAGAGAATGCGCTCTTCAGAACAAGCAACCAGGCAGGACGAACAGGGAAGCATTTATTCAGGGATAAAGCTCAGAAAGGCAGGAAGGGGTAGGAGAGAAGGGAAATAAGAAACACGGGGAGGAAGGAGGAAGCGGCTGTGGTAATGTGTGCATTGTAATCAGTCTGTCTCATGAAACAAAATGTGTATGAGTTGTTGAGTTGAAAATCAATTTGCTCTGTAAACTTTTGCTTAAATCACAGTCAAAAGTTAAAAACAAGCAAACTTGATGGCTAAGAGGAAGTCAGGAGGAAACATGCCCTCATTCAACATTTATCTGTGGGTCATGAATACCAGCAAGCAAAACAACAATCCCAGCCAGATCTCACTGAGCTTCTGCTTCAAAACTAAACAGTAAGTAAGCACATTGCATGATTCAAGTGACATTTTTAATTGCTTCTTGTGCATGTGAAATCTGGACCATGAATATGGATGACAGAAAAAGAACCAGTGCCTTTGAGTTGTGGTGTTGGAGAGAGTAATGAATATTCTATGAATTGGCAAAAGAACAAGCAAATCTGTGTTGGAGAAAGTGCAACTAGGGTGCTCCTTAGAGGCAAAGACGGTGGAACTTTGTCTCACATACTTTGAACATGTTAGGAGGAGCCTGTCCTTGGAAAAAGACATCACGTTGGGAAAGGAGGTCTTAGGGAGCTTTACGGCTGACCCAAAGCTGGCACCTCTGGTAGTTTGACTCCACCAATGGCTCTGTGGAAGAAAACTGGGCAATCTCCTCCCATGAGATTTACAATCTCTGAAAATCTGCTAGAGGTTCAGCTATGAGTCAGTTCTGACTTGATGGCAGTGAGTTGAGTAAATGAATATAACAAAGGTGCGACATGAGGGGGTGGTGGTGGAAGTAGATATAGGTTAAGGGGACGCGCCCTGATGGTGCTGTGGGTAAAATCCTCAGCTGCTTACCAAAAGGTCAGTGGTTCAAACCTACCTACTACTCTGTGGAAGAAAGATGTGGCAGTCTGTACCTGTTAGAAACCCCATGGGGCAGTTCTGCTCTGACCTATCTGGTAATGACTTGCCAACAGTGTTTTCATGTTTGTTTTGTTGTGGGGTTTTTTTGTTTGTTTGTTTTATAGGGTAAGGAGCCTTCAAAGAACTTAGGAGGAAAGAGAATTTGCAGTAAGTCAGGATGACACTCACTGAGGTGTGAAAATAAGAGCAGAGGCTTAAAGATGGTGAGAGTTAGCCAAGTGCATATCTGAGAGAGGAGGATACAAGTAAGAGGTAACCCTTGTTTTGGGAAAAAAAAGATGGGAAGAGATAGAAAAGGAAATGGATAAAAGAATGTCTTAGACTGAATGCCCAGGTCCTTAGGAAGTGTGACAGGTGGCAGAAGCCCACTGTGTAGCCCTGGGCAAGTCATTATCCTTCTGAAATTTAATTTCAGAAGACAAAAGTGCTATCAAGGACATCTTTAAAGGACTGGTGAGCAAGGATGCCACGTTAAGGACTAAGATGCACACAGTGGAAGCCATAGTCTTTTCAATCACTTAATATACATGAGAGCTCTGGTGTTTAGGTGGTAAGGAGTTGCACTGCAACCCAAAGGTGAATGGTTCTAAATCATCAGCTGCTCCACAGGAGAAAGATCGGCAATCTTTTCTTGTGCAATTTTCAACCTTTGAAAACCCACTGGAGGGTCAGCTATGAGTTGGTTCCTACTTGATGACACACAACAACAACAACAACAACAAACACCATATGCATATGAACGTGGGGCAAGAAATAAGGAAGACTGAAGAACAATTGATGCCTTTGAATTGTGATGTTGGCAGAATATGGAATATACCATTAACTGGTAAAAGAACAATAAATCTGCCTTGGAAGAAGCACAGTTGGGTGTCAAGACTCCATACTTTGGGCATATTTTAGGAGGGTACACTCCTTGGAAAAGGACATCATGCTTGGAAAAGGAGAGAGTCCGTGAAGGAGAGGAGTGACACAATGACGACAATAATGGGTTGATGCCCAGCAGAGACTGTGAAGGCAGCTGGGCAAGGCTTTGTTCTGCTGTACATAGCTATGAGTCGAGGCTGATGCAACAGCACCTAAAAACAACAAAAGTAGAGGGTCATGAAGTCCCTCCCCACTCACTCCTCTACCACACGGTCTTCTATAAGCCCAGAGAAGGTAAGACTTATTCCAACACCACTCAGACAAGATGCAAGGAAATGCAGCAGACCTCTGGATAACATGTGGCCCTGTGGGGAGTGAGGTAACCTAACTGGTTCTGAGGGCCCACAGAAGTCACTGGACTGCAGCAAGGGGTGTGGCTAATAGGAGGCACATCTCTACCAGACTCTGGTCCAAATGGTGACACCCTCCCCAGCCTGTTTCCAGGGTACCCTTGCTGATTTCAACTCACGCTGCTCTTCGATGTCATTCTCCTCCTCGGGGTCCTTGGCTTTGTAGTAGGTGATGCCCCGGATGACTGTGGGCTTGGAGGCTGGTCGGCCTCTCAGGTGGACCTGCCTTTGCAGGGGCCGCTGTGGCTTCACCATTGCTGGAGGAGTCAGGGGCCGAGTTTGCATGAGCTCGATGGAGTTGATCTGCTGGGACACAGTTTCTTCCTGCAGAAATCGCTCCTCATACTGCTCCCAGCGGTGGACACAAGGAAAAATCAAGTCATTGATCACAGAGGGTGTGGGCCAGTAGGGCTTTGCCGGAGCCAAAGCCATAATAACAGCTCAACAACTCATTGCTGTTGAGTCAGCATCGACTCATAGCTGAACTGACCCTCTGTGGGCTTTCAGAGGCAGCGAATGGCATGAGAGGAGACTGCCTGTCTTTCAGAGCAGCTGGTGGATTTGAACTACCTGTTTTTGGATTGGCAGCACAACTCCTTAACCCCTAGACCACCAGAGCTCAAGAATAACAGCAGCTAGACAATTTACAAAGAAGCACTGGTAGCACAATAGTTAAGCACTCAGCTACTGGCAAAATGGTTGACAGTTCAAACCCACCTAGTGAGTCCACAGGAAAAAGACTTGGCAGTCTCCTTCTGTGAAGGTTAAAACCAAACCAGAAAACCCAAGGGGACAGATTAACTCTGTCCTCTGCAGTCAGTTACCATGACTCAGAATGGGACCAGATAGCCTCTAACAACAGAAGCTGCAAACAACTTAGGGAATTTATGTGCATTTCAGCTTCCTAATATGTAAAGTTGTGTGCTGCCGAGTCAGAACTGACCTATAGCTGACCCTCCAGCAGGTTTTCAAAGGCAATAAATCACATGAGAGGAGAATGCCTGTCCTCCCATAGTGCAGCTGGTGGAATCGAGCCATAGGTCTTTGGGATTGCAGTGTAGCTTTTTACCACTAGGCCACCAGAGCTCCCTAATCTGTAAAGAGGGATGTTAAAAGTATCTTCTACATTAAATGACTGATAAGAAGAATAAATATAGTGATGAGGAAGTGCTAAATGAACATTTAGCTGCTGGAACGCGGCCCTACCCCAGCCTGCCTTCCACAGGTGTTGTTTAAGGTTATGTTTCTTTGTCACTGCAGACTGTGTGATCCTGCTAGGGACACAGAACACCTCGAGCTCATCTTTGACCCTCCTGGGTTGCTCTGCTTTCACATTTGTTAAATCAAATTGCTGAATCATGTAAGTCCCAAGGAACTGTCTAAATTTGCGGTTGTGATGCTTTAAAATAGAGGACCATGACTTAGTGTCTGAGTATCCTGCTGTCACTGTGGGAACACTAGTGTGACCGTTTGGGCCACAGAGTTGACCGCTCTGTCTTCCACTGAGCTGCTACTCAAGAACTGACATCTGTCCACAGTGCTGGTGAATTCTTGTGTCCTTTGATTTGGGGCACAGAGTCTGTGAATTGGTTGTGCGCACAGCTGGGAGGTCCAGAGGCAGGTCTGGCTTCTGAGGGGGAGTGGCTCCATAGAGGAACCTCGTATGGACCTAACCCAGTCCTGCTCTCAAATCACTAAGCCCCACCTAAGCCATGAGAAGCTGGTGTGCTCCCCCAAATGCAGGAGCTCCCCTAAATGCAGGAGCATCAGACCCTAGTGAAATCCTCGAGAGAGCAGAACCCCTTTCTGAACAAAACTTCTGTCCCCACATGCTCCGGGCTCTTGAGGGCCAGGGCAGAACTTTCATGGTCACTGCCCGTGAACTGGTGGAAAGCCTGTGCCAGTGGCCAATTTCCCCACTTCACACAGGAGGGAACAAACCCAGGCTTTTGTTTTGACCTTTAAAATCTGGCCCAGAGAAATCCTGACTCCTTGTTCCCAACCACACCCTGAAGTTCCTGCTTGCTGTCCCGTGACAAGAGGGTTTATCCACAATAGACGTGGTATCTCTTAACCATGCTGCTCGTGCTTCCTAGCTCATAGAGGTGACCAGCTTGTGGAAGGCAGGGGACGCCTTTCTGCCAGCCTTCTGTAACTGCAACCAGAGAACTGCCCAGAACTAACAGGCAGACAATGTCTACTGTGCCCTGGAGAGGGAGAGAGTACTCCCCTCCCTCAGGGCCCTGTCCTTGCTGGTGAAGGACCTTGTCTAACAGTTTTGGAGATGCTTGATTAGTGATGCTGATATTTTAGTGAACACATTGCCATGGATTAAACTGTGCCCCCTCAAAATATATGCCAGCTTGGCTGGCCCATGCTGCCAAGTTGCCTGGCCGTTACATAGTGGTATAGTTTGGCAGTTGTCTAAGGATATGATCATCCTCTATAATATTTGATGTGATCGGTCAATTCATTGTAAGGTATTTAGGGTGATATGCAGCACTCTAATTCAAGTCACATCCCTGATCTGACCTAAGAAGAGGTTCCCCAGGGTGTGGGGTGTGGCTTGCATTACTGTCCATCTTGCAAGAGTTAGAAAAAAGTGAATGGAGAGGGAGAGACCACAGCACCACCGAGAAAGATGAGCCAGGGTGGGATACAACCCTTGGCCTCTGCTCTGTGAACCCCTGAGACCCGGGGGAGGATTGATGACAAGAAATAACAGAGATCTCCCAAAGGATGCCTGGCCTACAGGTGTGGAAACGAGACAAGAACCTTCTCCTGGAGCTGACGGAGGATAAAATGCCCTTCTCTGGAGAGAGCACCCTGAATTCAGCCCCTGAACTGGGAGGAAATACATTTCTGTTCATTAAAGCCATTCACTTTCAGTCTTTCTGTTACGACAGCATAAGATACTGTTTTTGTTCAATGCTGTCACGTTAAGTACAACTCATAGTGACCTTGTGAATGACAGATCTGAGCCCTGTCCTATCCTGTGCCATCTTCATCATCTCTGATACACACTTAAGGCCATTCCTGCAGTCACTGCATTAATCCACCTCATTGAGGGTCTTCCTCTCTTTTGCTGACCCTCCATTTTTCCAAGCTAATGTCCCTCTCCAAGGAATAGCCACTTCTAGCACCATGCCCAAACTATGTGAGATGAAACTTTGTCATCTAGGCCTTTAAGGAGCATTCTGGCTGTACTGTTGTTCTTTGTTGCTATGTGTCGTCGAGTCGACTACCACTCATGGCGACCCTATGTACAACAGCCCTGTCCTGACCCAGTCTCACTGACTCCAACACACCTACCCACATCACCCTAGTCACTGAGTCAATCCATCTCATCTGAGGTCTTCCTCTCCTACACTTTACACCCTTCCAACCATGACGTCCTTCTCCAAGGACTGGTCCCTTCTGGCCACATGCCCAAAGTATGTGAGACAGAGCTCCAAAATTGTAGCCTCCAAGGAGAAACTTGGTTGTACTAAGACATACCTATTATGGTCAGACAGGTGCCTTTTATAATTTTTAACCTTTATAGAAACCAGCCCATATATATAGGAACCCTTATGTCAGAAATGACTGAGTGCCTGGCACTAACTACAAGGCCGATAGTTCAGACTCACCAGCAGCTCTTGAGTAGAAAGACTAGATGACCCACTTCGATCAAATGACAGCCAGAGAAACCCCATCTGCTACCTAGGCTCTTGAAGAGTTAAAATCAGCTCAATGGCACCAGACAACAATATTGTACAGATAAGGAAATGGAAGCTCAGAGTGATTTAGTAATTTGGTTGAAAGCCCCTCAACCCCTCAATTTGGCCGCTGGGAGACATATTCCTCAGTCACATGTCTATTCAGCAGACCCGAGACTGTCTGCCTTCAGAGCTCTGATCTTCCTTACACTGAGGGACCCTCCCCTCAATGTGACCACAGGACTGGACAGTTTGCCAACCAGAAACCTGCCTGCATTCCCAAGCCCTCAGGGCCATGTCTGGCTACAGTCCAGCAGACTTGGGGGATCCCTCATTTCCCACAGCGAAGGGCTGTCTGGAAGGCTGACAAGAGGCCCCCAGCCACAGTGCTTGTCTCAGATACTGTGGGGCATCTAATTGCTGGACCCCGTTTTCCCTCTGCATTACAAGTGAAGTTTGTCATTTCTTCGTGGCAAACCCCAGGAACTGTCTTTAATTCCAAAATCTCAGGGCTGGGCGGGAATAGCAGTTTTTTTCTCCCAGCCAAGGAGATGGAGCAAGACCATGGGCAGGCAGCCTTTGCCAGAGAACATATAATTTCCCTGGATCCACTGGCGACAGGCTGCACAGGGCGGCAGCAGCCCCCGCCGAGTTTTGATTTCCTTTCTGTGAATCCAAACGTCTGTTGCATGACTTAAACTCCTGGCGTCCCGATGTTCCCGCTCCCACACTGTCCTGTCCACTCCCAACCCAGCCCCCAAAGCCCCTTGTAAACTCTCCAGGATAAGGACCTTCCTGGAGAGATGCCCCCAACAAATTGCCACTCACCACTGAGAAACCCCTGACCTCATCTACAAAAACCGTGAAAAGAAACCACCATACCCATCCCACCCCATTTGCCTCCTTTTAAATATCTAAGGTTCACCAAAGAGACAGAGGGATGAGATGGGGGAGGAATGAAGAACCCCCTTGGGTCTCTGTCACCACTTCCCCCATCTCTGCTCCTCCTGCCCTCGGCCCTGCCACCACCTCGGTCGGGTGGATTGTGCTAACTTCAGCAGGATGTTGAACGGACAGACACTTGAGGAGGGGAAAGGACTTTGCTGAGCAAGGAGAAAACAAGTTCCGTGTGTTTGATTTGGTTTGCTGTTTGCCCTCGGGAAATGTGAACTGGTTTCCTGGACACACCACACAATGTGTCATCAAGACAACAGTTGGGAGTCTCAAGCTTCATGGGCTGGGAATGTGGAAGCCGGAGAGGGCAGGGAACAATGCTGGCTCCCCTGGACAGCTGGCTGGGCCAAGGTGCCAGATGGGCTGGGCTGAGACATGCCGTCCCAGGTGTGAGGAGCGGGGGCCCCCAATTCCCTTCCAGCCCAGGGCTCTTTGGTTTATGAGCTCAGTGTTCAAGGGTGACCCACTAAGAAGAATAAACACACACTCAGTAGCCAGCAAGTCAGGGACACCCAAAAAAGAGAATAAAAATAATTTTTGAAGGAATATGATATTTCCAAAAACCATCAAAGCAGTCATCATGGGAAAAGCCAGAAAATGATTGGCCTGCCTTGTACTTATGCTATGGTTTGGAATTGTTTTCATTTGGAATTGCATTTTGGGGTGGGTGGTACCACAATCTCTTCAGTGCTCATTGCCTCCAAAGTCCTACTCAGTTTCCTACCTGGAAGATAGATAGGAAGATCCCCCAAGATTCCCAAGCTCACAGCCACTGACTGACAGTACTTTGACGAGTTCTCTACCCACACACTCAGCCTTATTTCCTGTCTTAACCTAACTGTTAATGACCTACACATGGAGTCCTTTGTAGCAATGCTTCCCAACCTTTTATCATCTCTTGGTGCACAGAGAAACTAGTTCAGGGGCACTGGTGGCCCAGGCCCTGCTCTGTCCCTATCCAGCCTAACTGCACGAGACTGAAAGGACCCTTCAACGACACACCTGGAACCCACTTCACAGAACCAGCCTCCTACAGCTCTGATGCTCACCCTGACCCTGGGCAACCAGCTAAAGGAAGCAAGACCCAAACCCACTGTCATTGGGTCAGCTCCAACTCATAGTGACCCTAAGGAGAAAGCAGTCCTATGGGTTTTTTAAGACTGCAAATATTCATAGAACAGGATCCCTGGTAGTGCAGCAGTCAAGCTCCTCACTGCTAACTGAAAGGTGGGTATTTAAAACCCACAAACTCTTCTGTGGGAAAAAGATGAGGCAGGCTGGATTTGCAAAGATTTCAGCCTTGAAAATTACATGAGGCCCTTCTACTCTGTCCTCTGGGGTCACTATGAGTGAGAGGATTGACTCAATGGCAATGAATTTTGGGTGTTTTTCTGCATTCAATCTTTAGGTTTACTCTTGATTTCTCTGTTAGCAGTCAGGTGCTCAAATTATCCTTTAGGATGTTTCATTCCAACTTGTCTTGCTAATGGCATCCCTGAGTTTTCAAGCCCTGCCACCACAATGTACCCATTTCCTCTTCCTTTTTTTTTTTTTTTAAGCTAGCTCCCAAATTAATGCCTGAGTCTTGGACATCGGTTTAGGAGATAACTCAGTGCATGAAATGGTAACACATTTCACTATTGGGACAATGAATCTAATGTGTAACGGAAGCTAAAACAAACAGGCCCCATCTGGGGAGGTGTTTTTAAGCAAGATGGTCTTTGGCATCTCTCAAATCCCATTAGACAGTGTCTACTCTGAGCATGGGTCACAAGGGGTAGAGCTAGGTGAGAAGAGGTCTGAGACTTTGCCTCTAATTTCTGACTGAGCAAGGGAGACAATGAGCATATGCAGGCCTGTGTCTCCATCTCTAAGACGGAGGTACTGACTCTGCTCCGACTGCTTCTCGGGGTTGTGGTGAAGAGCACGTGGCCTAGTTTTGAAAGCACAGTGTGAATGATAATAAGCCTTATAAATGAGACAAGACTATATACTTTATTCTTAAAACTAGGATTTTTAGGGAGCTCTGGTGGCCTAGTGGTAAGACGCTGCACTGCAATCCCAGAGGTACACGGTTCAAATCTACCAGATGCTCTGCTAGAGAAGGAGGGAGCAATCTCCTCCTGTACCAGTCAGATTTGATTTGACGGTACACGTAAAAATAATACAATAAAAAAAATTTAAAAGAAAATGAGGACTTTTTTGAGAGAAAGAGGATGCTATGGATAATTGTGCTATGACAGCAAGAATGAACTCAGACAAGCTAGTAGGGATACTCCCTTCCTTACTTAGAAATTCAGTGTATGCTTACAAAGCTGGGTTGAGGTAGGATGAAAAGAAAAGGTGTTAACCTTTGGGAGACCCAGTCCTGGCTGCAAACTAGTAGAAGGGGGTAAATTTCTGTCCCAGCAAACATAGACAACTATTGTATACATGAAATGAGATTATGACCATGGAAGGACCAGAATCTCAACAGCTCTATGAGAAGGTGAGATGTGGTACGGAGCCATCCAGAACTGTGGTCAGAGGCTCTGGAGGCAGGGGCTGTACCTCTGGGTGGGCATAAGCCGCCGCCGCGTCCCTCTGCAGGGCTGACCGGATGTCTGGTATGCTGTCTAGGATGCTGCTGGAACAATTCTCTTTGCCTTGCTTGTTCATCTCAGTCCGAATTTCTTCCATGTCCTCTTTGATTTGCTCATTTTCCTTAGTGAGATTTTTTGAAACTTCCTGAGAAAAAGAAATGATTTAAAAGAAAGACTCATTAAAGGGCTCCAAGGACAGGTAGGAGGCAGCTGGCAGCCATGCTCAGGGCATGGAACTATGACAAGAGACTGGAAAGTTTGTCATCACGTGATAGAGTTGGCTACCCAGCTCTGGGTTCAGAGCTGTGAACAAGCCCCTGGGAGCCTTTTCTGAGCAGTCCCACTCTAGTACGTCCAACTGATACACTGCCCATTACCACCTTCCAACCATCCTCGCCTTGGAGTTGACTCATGGTGACCCAGGTGCATCACAATAGAGCTATACTCCACAGGGTTTCCAATGACTGATTTTTCACCAGGTCTTTCTTTGGAGGTGCTGCTGAGTGGCCTTGAACCTTCAACCTTTTTGTTAGTAGCCGAGTACGTTAACTTTTTACATCACGCAGGACTTTGGGACTCCTAGCTCTTTTTTCTGTCATTTATACACAGATTGCCCTTATTCAGTCATTCAAAACTCTACCAAAAAAAAAAAATTCATCCACGTGCAAACCATGCATACATGGTAGGGAAAGATTTTTTCCCCGAGTGATTTTAGAAGAAGTTACCAAAGAAATCTACTTAACTGGTTATTCTAGTAGTCACAGCAAGTTCTCAGCACTTTCAGAGCATCATTTGCATACAAAAATTGATAGGCTGATTTCAAACTTTCCTGTCTGCCCCTAAACATGCAGAGAACAAAGTTTATTAGTGGTTACCAAAGAAAGGGGAGGTTAATGATGTGGGCAATAGTGCCTTAATTAATGGAAGTGTTCACAGCTGATTATTGTAACTGCTGTCAAGAAGTTGTGCACCTGTAAGAAATTACATTGACAAAAGTGATATGATAAGTGTATTTACACAACCAATAAGGAAAGGTGGAAAGAAGACTAGCTGCTGAGGCCTTCTTTGTACAAATCCCTTGTGGAATTTGGTTTCTTGGTTTGGAGGTTCAGGGTTATGGTTTCCAGGGACATCCAAATTCATAATCAGCTTAAAAATGTATTAAATGAGCTCTGGTGGCCTAGTGGTAAGAAGCTGTGCTGCAATCCTGAAGGCACATGGTTCAAATCCACTAGCTGCTCCATGGGAGAAAGATGAGCAATCTCCTCCTGTGTGATTAACTGCCTTTGAAAAGCCACCAGAGGGTTAGCTCCGACTCGATGGTACACTACAACAACAATAATATGTTTAGTGTGTGTTTACCTCCTAGTTCAGTAAGTAAGTAACAAGGGTCATCTGTGTATAGACTGCTCTTAGCCAGTGATAAAGGCATCCAAGCAGCCACAAGGTACAAACACTGGTCTTTATTTACTAGAGCAACAGAGGAAGGAGAGTTAGGAATAGGAGGAGGAGGTGAAATGTGGGGCTAATTGCCTTCATGAAAACTGCTTCCACAAGGCCGGAAGAACTGATGGTACTCAGTTTTGAACAAAGATTCCAGAGATGATTCCTGATCTAAAGGGGGAAATGAAGAACAGAATTTGAAAACCCTATGGATTCTTGACTTAATGAACCCCTGAAACTATTATCTTGAGATAATATTTAATATTTAAACCAGAAATACCTCCTGAAATTTTCTTAAACCACTTTAGCTTAACTAGTTTTAAAAAAAAACCCAACAAAACCAAAAAACAACCCAACAAAAAAACCCTGCCTTTAGTTACCCTCTTTTAAGGGAGTCAATGAAGGGATCAAATTGACAATGATAACCTGAAAGATTAGACAGGAACTTTGGACGTCAATGATGTCAATTGTAAGGGACAACTCAGAAGAGGAGGATGAAATGATTGCACATCTTGAAGACTAATAATCATTGTCACCAAACAGTTCATGTAGAAACTGCTGAATTTGTATGTTTTGCTACATATATTCTCAATAACAATAACATAATACAACTATACAAAGAAATAATTTCCAGAAATGATTTGAGTCACCACATTTCAGTGCTGGTTTAGTCAACCAACACTGGCAAGTGAGTGCTTCCTGTTTCTGAAATGTGGTGTAGAGAGGCTCTGAAAACCCCTGGGGTTCTTGTCCTGGGGCAGTGGTGGTAACAGCAATAATTACAGGAAAAAGATGACCAACAGGTCTGTAAATGCCAGGTGTGTGGTGGAGTGGGTGAGTTCAGGGAGCAGGAGCGAGTGCTAGGGTCAGGGCAGCAGAGGCTCTCCCTCCCTAGGTGAATGCTTAGTGGGATGCAAGGGATGTTCAGGGGAAAGCTGTGCACAGGCCCAGCAATGCCCTTTCTGCTTCTGCAATTCCTTCTAGAGAAGTATGCTCACACAGAGCTCTCAGCACTGTCCAATTCTTGCCCCCATTCTCTGGTTTCCATGAGCATCTTCTTTTTTAAATGTTCTTTTCTTCTTTAGTCCTGTTTATGAGGTTGATAGAAGATGTCCTGTAATGATGCAGGAAGTGTTTGCTTTTCATCTTCCTTTAACACAACAGGCATGGGGTGTACAAAAGCTTGGACAATGCTGGGCACAGCCATGCAGCCAGTGAGATGCTACAAATGTCCATGGGGGAAGTCATGGTGGCTCCTTTCCAGAGGGACATGTACGTCTCCCAGACAACCGTGACAGCCAGACTCTGTGGCTCCAGTGGCTGTTACAGGGTCTGCCCAGAGAGCCCTCAAGATGCTTGTTAAAACAAACTAGGCTCCAGAACCACTGGTCCTGCTGTCCTGATGGTATTTATTGCAGGTCAGATTCTAACACTGGGCGGGCTCAATGTGTTCCAACGGGTCCAGGCCAAGGTAGCCTTTCAAATCCTCACAGAATTAGCTGTGGAGGAAGAGTTCTTGTTTCAAGAATACTCAGAACCATTGGTCTGAGCATCTGTGCATCCATTCCTGATAGGTGTTATCAGAAGCCATCAAGTGCAATGGGTAAAAGGATGGTTTCTGAAGGGACTACTCCAGTAATGTCTTAATGCAGCTATTGCTAGATCTGTGACTTCAGAAAAATTATTTCTATGTCTTGTGTTTCAGTTTTCCCATATGTGAAATGGTACTAATGGTAGTATTTTCTTGATGACTTGTTATGAGGATTAAATAAGAAGGGCCTGGAACGTAATTTACCCAATCCTACTTCACTCACCCCAAGGCAGCTCTCCATTGGGTTTCTGATGCTTTAAATCTTTATGGGAAGAGACTATTCATCTGTTTATTGAGTGGCTGGTGGATTCGAACCACCATCAGGTGGTTTAGTTAGTGGCCCAATATGTAATGCACTAAGTCATCAATGGTCCTTTGAACACTCTAAGTGGGTGCTATTTTTCTAAGGCTGTTATAGCTGGGATAGACCCTAGAACTCAAACCCGATCCCTTAATACCACAGATGAGGAAGCTGAGGTCCAGAGAAACAATGTGATTTATCCAAAGCTATTGAGACAGATGGCTGAGCTGAGCCCCAGTCTCCTGGCCTTTTCTTCTTCAGTTCACTTGCTAGACTGCTTAAAACACCACAAGAGGGTCCTGCCACTCGGCCAGCTAGCTCTCAAGCAGCACCAAGCTTATTAAAAAACCCCAAACCTTTCTCAAACTCATTGTTGGAGGCGACTCATAGCTAACCCTTCACTGGGTTTCCAAGGCTGTCAATGGAGTGGGAGGAGATTACCCATCTTTCTCCTTCAGAGCTGCTGGCAGATTAGAACTGCTAGAGAGGCAGAGTGATAAGGGAGTCACGCTGCCAACACAAGGTACGTATGCAGTTTGAATCCATCAGCTGCTCTGCTGGAGAAAGATGGAATCAACTCCCGTGTGATGTATTGCCTCTGAAAATCTGCTAGAGCGGCAGCTATGAGTCTGTCCCAACTCGATGGCATCTGCTGTTGTCATGTGCTGTTGAATCAATTCCAGCTCATACTGATTCTATAGGACAAAGGAGGATGTCCCTATCACAGGGTCTTCACCTATGGAGAAGCCACAAAGAACTAAGAGCTGACCCTCCAGTGGGTTTTCAGAGGCAGCAAATCTCACTGGAGGGGACAGCCCTTCTTTCTTCCACAGAGCAGTGGGTAGATTTGAACCATATACCTTTGGGTTGGCAGCCTAGCTCCTTACCACTAAGCCACCAGAGCTCCATTGGGTAGAGGCTTCTTGTTGCTGTGTACCATCATGTTGGAATGTACTCCTAGCTGAGCCTGCAGTGGATTTTCAGAGGCAGTAAACCAAAGAGGAGAATGCTGAGTTGTTTTCCTATGGAGCAGCTGGTGGATTTGAACTGTATACCTTTGCATTGGCAGTTCAATTCTTTAATACTAAGCAATCACTGATCTTTCAGCTAGCAGGCAAGTGCTTAATCACTGTACCACCAGCGCTTCCTTATAGAACTGCTGGACACTCCTGTCCCCCACTCCACCAAGAGTCTTTGCTTCTTCAGATGTGGTCCGTAGACCAAGGGGCATCAGACTTATACAGGAGCATGTGGGACATGCAGGCTCTCAGGCCCCACTCACAATGCACTGCCATCAAACAGACTGCCACGCAGGGAGCCGTCATCAAGTTCCAAGCCTGTAAATCCTTATGGAGAAGGCTGTCCATTTTAATGCCATGGAACAGCACTATACTTAATGCACCAGAACTTGAACTGCTGACTCAACATTTAACAAGCTTTAGAGGAGATGCGCAGGAGGAGGACAAAAATTGGAGAAACTCTGCCCTAAATGGAGGGAGGTTGGGGTGCAGCTAATGGGGAGAGAAAAGAGATATAAGAGAGGGGCAGTTTTACAGGAGCCAAGGCCTTTCTGAGGCTAACAGGGTGCTGGTCTCTCAGTGAGCTTCAAGCAGATCTACCTGTGAAGAGCCACAGGAAGACGATAGAGGCCTGCTCTGATGAAGACCACATTGCATTAGGGCGAAGCAACTGAGAAACCAACTAACCAACTAGTGGAAATACCCCAACTAGTGGAAAGCCCTTGAAGAAACGAAAGCAGAGTGACACGGCATATGCAGATATGACTCCTCAGCAAGGTCACCCAAGGTGG